TCCTTTGTTTTAGTACAAGTATTGTACATTCGGAAACAATCCTTTGTTTTAGTACAATTAATGTACATTCGGACACAATCCACTGTTTCAGTACAATTAACGTACATTCGGACTTAATCCTTTGTTTCAGTAAATTAACGTACATTCGGACACAATCCTTTGTTTCAGTACAATTAATGTACATTCGGACTTAATCTTTTGTTTCAGACACAACGGTCCTTTTTTCGGTAGAATTAATGTGCACTAAGATAAAAATCTCCATCATATTATAGATTTCTCTGCAATATGGAGCAAACGGATAAAAACGGCATTAGATGGGATCATATACGGATAATTATGCAGATATAAAAGGTCAGGAAGGGACTGCCTTCAATGTTTACAAACAACAAGGCGTCGCTCTCGTCTCGAGTCAAAATTAACCACTGAGGATCTAGACAAGTTTCTGGGACAGCAGCTGTCATTACATAAAAAAACAGTCAAAGACACAGAAAATCAGCGTCCAACTTGGACATACCAAGGTATTATACAAGTGGAGACACGTATGAAGATATACTGCGAAACGCGTTATCCAGAGCACCTCGATCAGAGATAATTTTCATGTTTGTGCTTGTACAACTCTGAGGCTTGGGGTCTCATCTCGAATTTAAAACAGTTGGATGTGGCCGAAATTTGTCTCAAATGTTAACCCTGTTTCATTTTGTCTGTGTGGCGAACTGGCAGCCTTTCGTTAAGTTAGGACATGCCAGGCAGACTCAAAACAAAGTGACGTCTCACAGACTAGAGAATTTACCCCTTGATCAAGGACAGTTAGTCTAGTGGACGGACCAATGGAAGGTGATCACTCACAAGGTAGAAAAAAGGTTTAGGCAGTTCTTTTTGCCTGTGTGAAGTTACACCACTGTCTCAGCCAAGTTTCAGATGGAACTATATTTGCTGTCACTGTCCGACTGACTAACTACTGGCCTTGTGAAGTAATACATAACTGCGCACGCCAGAAACCTTCAATGTTTAGGTACAGTTTGTTTGTTTGCTTGTTTATTTGTTGTTTAACGCCGCACTCCGCAATATTCCAACTATATATATGGCGGCGGTTGTAAATAATAGAGTCCGGACCAGACAATCCAGTGATTGACAACATGAGCATCGATCCACGCAATTGGGAAACGATGACATGCATCAACCAAGTCAGCGAGCATGACCACCCGATCCCGTTAGTCGCCTCTTACGACAAGCATAGTCGCCTTTTACGGCAAGCATTGGTTGCTGAAGACCTATTCTACCCCGGATCTTCACGGGCAGGTACAGTTTATAAGAGAAGAGAAATTCTTTTCGACGACGAAACTTAAGACTGGCATTATATGGTAAAGAGGTTATCATGCGTGTGTGTTTGGATGGTAATTCCATCCCAAACACAGCCTAAATACCTCTTTATGTTTCAGTACAATTTAGTCCAGTGGATATACACTCATAAACAATCCATTATGTATAATTCTATGCCATAATTCGTAACTCTTGCTCATGATGTCAATTACTGGTTTGTGTGTTCCAGGTTTGATTATTTACACCCAGCCGTCATATGGCTGGAATTTTACAGCGTAAACAAAAAACAAACGTAACTAAATACCACGTCTGACAGTTATTCCTAGGAATAATCATGCGACTTTTTTCGACAGGATAAAATGCCATATCATTTCACAGTTCACACTATTTGTGACTGCGCCGTGGTCTAGTGGTTGAGCGTCTGCCCGGAGAGCGGAAGGTCGGTGGTTCGATCCCAGGCCGCGTCATACCAAAATACGTTAAAAGATGGTACTTGTTGTTACCCTGCCTAGCGCTCGGCATTAAGGGGCTAAAACAAGGACTGGTCGCCTCGGAGTCCGTATGCAGTGTCTGAGTGGGGTATTCATTAGAAACTGCGGCATGGTATCTCAGTGGGCTATCACTACAAAATCGCCATTAGTCCGGACTAGTACAAGCAGCCATAAACACACACACACACACACACACACACACACGTAAATATACGTCGTTTTATAAGTGCACAACCTTGAACTCGACGTTAAACCCCATTTCACCTCACCTCACACTATCTGTACTTTGTCAAAAGCCTCAAACAAATCAATGTTTTCAATACCATGAACATGACAGGGTCATACGACGCTAGTTAGACAATAAATGTCAGACAAACACACCGTGGCCAATGCTTTACAACACTGCAATCACAGCAAGTATCGGTACCCAAGACATAACAAACACTGACGCCGTCATTCTCCTTCAGTAACCTCGGAAACGCAGGTTTTTGAGTGTTGCGATTACATCACATATGGGCAACACTGTCTGTGATTGACAACCATACACATTTACCCACACTCCACTATCGATCCGACATTTCAACATTGGATTTTTAAATCCATATATTACTATTGATCTATACCTTTTACTTCGGTATCAGTGTAGCTGTACCGTGTTATATTTCTGGGAGAAGTTATATAAATAATGTTCTGATGATGCCTCGTGTTTCAATATCTTTGTATTGCCTCAAGTCAGTGGTACACAGCAAATCAAATATCGCAGACAGTAATAGATTGTAGTGTCTTCCTCGGGGCCGTATTGAACGATAAAGATTCCATCTACATGGGCTTGACGAAGAAAAAAATCACTTTGTGTTTAAATTAGGCCAAAAATAGTATTAAGTTTCTGATGTTTGGGTTAATTAAATACTAATAGTGGATGTGTGTGATGGGGAAGTACAGAAAACATCAGTTTGGTACAAGGCAAGGGGTTATCAAATATATGCACCTATATTTTAACTGCTGGTGTTATCGTTAATGTTCGTATGGTGTGCATAATTTTTTTTTAAATAATACAATGCATGATCACACTTTAATTACATTCCCTTATTAATAGCATTATGTCAAGATGAATTAAACATTTGTCATATTACCAGGACACATTTCTAGCCTCTTGGTGGCTTGAACACTTGTTTGCCTTGCCAAGGCTCGGCATTTTAGCGCTGCAGTGATGCGGCAGGCACAATGCTGACCAAGAACTATGGCCCATAACTCGAATATTGGTTCAATAGAAATATTATTGTCAGCATTCAAGATTCCTTTCCATTATTATTATTATAATTATTATTATTATTATTATTATTATTATTATTATAATAACACTCACACACATGAAAAACACAAACTCAAATCAGCTACATGAACATGTATCAGACGTAACTAAGCCTCACACCCCCACCCACAAAACAGCGTCTGTTATACCCTCTGTCCATAACTTATTCATCTTGATAACGACCTCAAGCAGCCTAAACTGACCACGCTATGGTCACAGACTATGTTCAAAGGAGCCCAGCCCATTAGGGTCTTGCCCGAAGGCTGCTGGTGCTCGAGGAGGCTGTAACCCCGGCGGAGCTTACACTATCGAACTGTTGCAGATTTCACGTCGTGGCTTCTTGATCGCCGCTAAATGTTGTCTTGCAATTAGAAATGGTTGGCATTCGCCTGTCTCCTTCTTCAATCAGCGTATAACCATTAAGTTAAAAAAATATCAACTTTGTACGATACTGCAGGGTGTATAAAGGTTGCTGTACTGAAACGGCTACCCGGCAACCGTATTAATTGAGGAACTGACGACGAAGCATTATCAATGGAAATCCGTCGTCATTTATTTTTGGGATAAAGGTTACTGTTCCTATCTGATCATATTGTCAAATATTTGACATTTACTGACATCTATTTGAAAACATGGAAATTCATCAAACACACAATACAACAACAATTACACCTCAAACAATGATACCGATGCCTTATATGTTGCAGCAACAATTTCAGATAAGAAATACACGCCATTCGAACATCTGAACACTCAAAACAGTCCTAGAACAGTGAATTTGTACGAGCTTCTATACCACTCAAAAGAAGTTAAAGAACACCCAATCAAGGCATGACAGATTAACTGTAGTAATATGAAAGCGTAGGGTCCTCTTTAACTTATTTTCAGTAACATATATTAAAATTAAATTAAATCCCAGGAACACCGCACATCAAATGTTTCAACTGTCAGTACTATGACTAACAACCAAATAAAGTCATTATAGAAAAGGTATGTTTGTTTCAATAATGTATTTCATTTTCATTTTATTATAGTTAGTCAAATGTTAGACAAGTATAGTCTAATCAAACAGCCATAACACCACACTGAAATCGTCTCAAGAAAATCAATGTTCGGCGGAACACTGTAGGCATCCTTTAGATATAGCTTTCACACATAGATAACTCTGGCTAACTAGCTTGTGGGCTAGTACATGAGAACACCACATCGCTTATTTTAGTCATACGTATTTTGCATCCTCAGTGAGACCATCAAGGATGTGGTATGTTTTTGGTACATAATACAGTCAGCGAGAAGAAACTGAATCATATATATTTCAAACAACCGCGGATTAAGGCGAGGATGATTGTATAGATGACGCACATTTCATGTATGTATGACAAGGACGAAACCAGATACAGAGGAGGACTTTGATGGATGTTGTTGGAAGACTGTGTCAGGTATTGCAGAGTTTTAAAATAATGATGAAATAACGACCACTGACCATGATCCATCATATATATATATATATATATATATATATATATATATATATATATTCAGAAAGGAGTTTGCATAAAGGAGATGTCATATTATATATATGCTCTTATTATGACTTTCTACTACATTATATATATATATATAATGTATATGTATATGTATGTACAACGCCTTCAGAAAGGACTTTGCATAAAGGAGATGTCATATTATACTATATATGCTCCTATTATGACTTTCTACTACATTGTATATATATATATATATATATATATATATATATATATATATAATGCTCTTATGACTTTTGAGTAGATAATGAAACCTGAAAATAGAAAACAAATCATTTTCCGTTTTTATCAAATATTTCGTGAAATATATCTTAATCCAGTGACACATACCTTGGTAGCCACAGTGATGCCTCCCGAGAGGTCGGGGCACTACTGCGCGCGGCATCGCCCATCAAATCTCGTGTAGCCCACCACGACGTCTCCACCCGTCTCTACCCGCCGCTTCCTGCACGTATTCGAACAGGTTGCAGACAATATACGAGAAAAATCTGCTGCAGCGACATTGCCAAGATATTGGTTAGTCAGTCCAGTGTCACCCAAATGCCGACCCCGCATCGATAAGACGAGGATAGGAGACCCGTGACAAACCCGTGCAATCCTTCTTCACCGCTACCTGTACCATAGCACCTCCGTCCTGCCTTGAATCTTCCGATGTTTCATAATGCCGTGATTTCCGTGCACGACGTCGCGAATGCTGTTAAATCCGTCCTTCGCGATGGCGATGAATGGGCACACTGGGTATCAGAGAATCTCCATCCTCCCCCAGCGCTCGTCAGTTTCCTCACCTGCATACATAACCCGCAACAGGTAATGAAGCTACTTAGCGAAACCACAGACCCTAACACTGTCAGCTGCGGAGTGTCTGCTGAATATACTCCACTGGAAACAATAACACGTTATCATGGACTAGCAACAAATGCCAGCGAGACAATTACGATACATCCTGATGCTACGTGGACGGAGGACTCGCTCACTGAGAGGACTCGTCGGTCACCCAATCTAAATAGGAAGACCAGCCTGTGCAGATTCTGTGGAGGAATTTCTCGCTGTACAAGACGGGAGAAAGCTCCTCTCGGTATAACAGCTGATTCGATTTGATCGGCTTCATTCGCGGAGATTCGGCAATCGTGCTGGCAATGAAGTGCAGAAAGCATTAACTGAAGCTAGCAACGTGTTGCTCGGCCACGCCCTCAATACCGATTACCCTTTCTGCAGCTAATGCACTCGGTCAGCATCCAACATGAGACAATGGCTCCAAGATAATCAACTGCATCGTCCTCTAAACAATGGAGCAAATTTGTTTGAGACTCCGTTTATTGGACTCGGAGCACACTGTTTGGGCATCAATTCGACCCAAGGAAATAACAAATCAAATATTATTACCATTCGATGGGGACACACTATAATTGCATTATGACTTTGGGAACATATTTGGATCATATCGGTGTCAATCGGACTATCATTTTAACGTCACTGTGATAGCAATAAGGTAAACATCAAACTGTCATGTTTGTTTGTTGTTTAACGCGGAACCCAGCAATATTCCTACTAGGGAAATAGTAGTATTTTTTATTGCTGTTTTTGCGGCAACTGCTTTTGATATTTGTCATGGTACCGATGTTTAAAATCTCCACCACGTCGTATAAGAAAGTTCTCAATATGAGGTTGACTCGTAAAGATCAGGGTTAGAATTCTTCTTAGACTTAGAACCTATGCATGTCATCGTATCCCAATTGCGTAGTTATTCATGATCTCATCACTGGATTGTCTGGTCCATACTCAACAATTTACCGCTGTCATATAGCTGGATTTTCGCTGAGTGCGGCGTTAAACAACAATCCAACCAGAGATATCGTGTTGGATATGTAAGTACAAACGCGTGGGTGGTTATGTTGATGTGTTGTTAGTGAGTGAGTTGTGTCTAGGCCCGATTTGAATATCATTTAAGTTATACAACGGAGTGTCACCCTAATGTGGTATTAAATCCTGAGGTGACGCAGGTCTTACACGTTTTGCTATTTGGTGCAACCCACATGACAAGAAACATAATCAGAAAGGTACCGTTAGGAGACACAGTGATATAAAAGCCCGCATATTATGACACGTGTGTAAAATAACATTTGGGAAAATACACGCATCTCACACCTAATACATGACAAATTACCAGCTGTGCTAATTATTCCGATAACATCACATGACAAACACGTTAAAATCACACGACGGATATCTGCATCGAGTCTGGTGTATATTTCACTTATTACTTAACACTTGTGCAAGGTTCCCTTGGCAACATGTCAACAAAGACACGTGGCCGAGATGTCAATGACGATGAATGCAAACAGTAGTTTGAAGAATATATGGCGATGACAAATTGATCCAGTATTGAACAGTAGCGTACACTGACAAAAAGACCGGATCGGTGAGGTTACAGGTTTGTGTATTGTTTGGACCGTACAAGGAATGGCCACATGTCTTGTAGGGAAGGGAACCACAGCTGATTGCCGGAATACAACGGAAGGGGCAACGGGTCTCTGAAACATGAGAGCAATTAACCCCGAATAGGGTATGCGCACGTAAAAGCAGGACAGCTTTCACTCGGTGTATTGATTCGGATTACAACACTAAATGAGACGCACTGAGGACGAGTGAAATTTAACAACGTTGTGCGTTTATGTAGCAGTTTGTCGTATTCTCGGAAGCTTTTAATTAAATGAAATGTGCAGATGGGCGATTCTATCGTATAAAAGAGATGAAGATATATTAGTATAACTTGTCTTTTGTCAAATCTTAAATAGATGATCCAACTAGTCATATTGATTCATTTTAAAGGTTTGTGTGTTTGTGTGTGTGTCCCAACAGAAACATTTTATTTATTTTTTGTTATCAGTAGCCATTAAACACGTTGTAAGTTATGGTTTTCCTTGGTTGAAAACAACCCTGCCGTCACCATCTTGCCAATCGTTGCATTCATAAAATTCTAAATATCCAAACCGGATTCTTGTATCGGACGAAACTCCCCGTGTTGACTCCGGCTTGCAATTGGTCTTCAGCTGATTATGCTTCTGGTAAGTGGCGACTAACGGAATCGGGTGGTCAGGCTCAGCAATATTCCAGCTTTACGACGGTGGTCTGTAAATAATTGAGTCTGGACCAGACAATCCAGTGATTGACATCATGAGTATCGATCTACTCAATTAGGATACGATGACGTGCAGCAACCACGTCAGCGACCCCGACCACCCTATCCCGTTAGTCGCCTCTTACGACAAACATAGTCGCCTTTTACGGCAAGCATAGGTTGCTGAAGACCTATTCCATCCCGGATCTTCACGGATCGTTTGTTTGAGGTCAAATCGGACCAGACATACCCCGTTGGTGATGGCAGAAGCAGCGATCTACGTCATCGGTGTGCGATATCTGGTTTAAAGATATTTAGTCACAAGAAATGAACAGGATTACTGTATCTTGTATCTCGCTGTGACCACCGATCGCTATTTGTGTATACCCCCTACAGCTTCGTGGCATCTATCATTTATTCTACCCACGAATATAAACGGGATCTACCCCGAAACATGTGCATGGGTGCACCGTTAACATGTGTCATTCGATCCTGGTGGATCACCTTGCCAACACCACTGGACCGGCCCAATCGCCCATCTGTGAAGATCCGGGTCAGAATAGAACCCGGTTTACAATAGGTCTTCAGCAACCTATGGTTGTCGTAAGGGGCCACTAACGGGATCGGATGGTCAGACTCGATGACTTGGTTGATACATGTCATCGTAACCCAATTGCGTGGATCGATATCAATCACTTGATTGTCTGGTCCTGGCTTGATTTCTGACAAACTTCCGTCATATAGGTGGAATATTGCTGAGTGTGGCGTCAGCAACAGAGAAACAGTTAACTGATAGCACCACCGTGGCTCAGTGGTATAAGTGGAACACAGGTGGCCCAGTCGTCTAACGCGCCGCGATTTGCTGTGCAGAGTTGCGTCCCTTTGGCACGCCAAAAACCTATGATTGTGGGTTCGAATCCCTGCTCGTCCCGATTATGTTTCTAGGTCTGTCAGCACTATACCCGTGCTTGTGGGTTTCACCGAAGTGGTAAACGTCTCAGGCTTTCTTCCCACATCAAGCTGACACGCCATGATATAACTGGAATACTGTTAAAAGCGGCGTTAAAAACCAACACACTCACTCACTCACTATAAGGCTACCAGATCCACTAACTGAGGGTTCGAATCCTAGATTTCTGCTTGTTGTGATCCATGGTTTGTAAGCACGTTACCCCGGATGTCACTTAAGCGGTAAACGCCAATATGTTGTACCTTCGTCAAATAGTTTCCTCCCGTATTAAGTTCACACGCCGCGATGAAACTGACATACTGCTCCAAGTCGCATTAAAGTCCCTCCTTCCCTGTAATCCTACTAGAGACGCTTGTAGTACAGCTTTAAGTGGTTAGGTTGAATGCAGTGCAGTTAATTGGGAGAACTGCGAACCCTTGCCTTTATAATGCTTGATATATCAGCCTCTCGTCCCGTGGTTTAACTTCTGAATGGTCTGTACAAGGTATACGAACGAACATTGCTGGCGTACACGTTATGTTGGAATAAACGCGTAATAGCGAACTACCCGAATGTTGGAATGGACGAGCAATAGCGACCTACCCGAATGTTGGAGTAATAATCAAACAAATACTTGGTAATAATCATTTCTGGACCAGATAATCCAGTGATTGATATTATGAACAACGATCCACGCCGTCAAAGTACGTTGACACGCCATCAACCACGTCACCGACCTTGACCACACGACCCATTAGGTCGCCTCTAACGACCGGCATAGGTGGCGGGGACCAATTCTAAACCGGAATCGTCACTGGTGCTACAACGAACGAACATTTCTGACTTGCTAATAAGCGAAGAAAGCTGCAGTTACATTGTGTAATTCCGTAAAAGTATGATCAAATCGATGTAAATTTTTAAGGTGTTCTTACAAATAGGCAATGTATTGATCGTCCCATGGTCTTTTCCTTGGTTAAGGGAAGGCATTTGGAATGAGTTATTGCACATGTTGTCCCAGAGGTTGAAGGACACCGGAGCTTTGCCTCTAATAACTGACAAGAGACGGAACCCAGCTTAAACTTATCGACCTAAGATCCGCGCATACGTTTGCAAATCAAGCACCGGTTTTATATCCACAATGTCTGGGTTGTCATGCAAATGAAATTGTCCCTTAAAGCTTCGTAATCTGAAAAATAACGTAAACCTTTAGAGAATGAACAAGAGTAAATTTTCCTGATATATTATAGCATCATTTTAATTATTATCGAGTCTCGAACAGGCACAACAGTGGTTGATATTATGAACAGCGATCTACCAGCCAGGTCACCCATAGTGAACATTAATATTCATCAATCGCCCTCCCTTGGATAGGTGGGGGTAGATGAGGGATGTGTGTGATAATGTACAGTTATATAGAAAATATGGTAAGGTGGTGATACAAGGTGAGCGCATCCTGCCACACCAGTGACATCCGTCACAAACACAGGCAAAGGCAAGTAAATTGTTCACGTGAAAAAACATGGAAATATATGGACGTCATGTTGTAGACACGGGCTCGATTCGTGAAATCCATTCATGGCATAAAAACGTAAACGTAACTATATGCCATTCATGGCATGCAAAAAATGAACGCTATGTGTCAATATATGTGAATGGTATAAGGTCGCATTGTATACACGAACAAGACAATTGCACAATGCCTATATAATGTGTTTGTCCAGTCAAGGCACAAATTGTTGGTTTTACTTTCAAATCAATCAAGATCTGTATTTTCTTCATAGATTTTACTTTAAAAACGCTGTTTTCACCATCAACAAAATGGTAAAATGACAAGTATCGAGCAGGAAATCACGAAATGGTTCAATTTACGACAGCAGACCTTGAGTCTGCCAGTAATTACAGATCAAGTACGTCATGATGCTTTGGTCACCGTATGTTAGAACGCTTATACCCACAGCACGTTTTGACGTCATACTGAATCCCGTTCCAATCACGATCAGCCATCTACCATCCCACGTATTCATGAAATCGTGCAGTGTAAGTTTGGGCTTTATCCATCAGGAAATGACACTTTCAAGCATCCCCTTTACCTCC